CCTCCAACTCCTGGGCTTAAGTGATTCTCTTGCCTCAGCCTCCCAAGTAGCTGGGACCACAGGCGCCTGCCACAACACCTGGCTATTTTTTGGTTGTAGTTGTCATTGTTGTTTGGCAGGCTTGGGCTGGATTTTAACCTGCCAGCTCTGGTTCTCCCAGGTGCTACAACAAACAGCCCCCACTCTCCAGCCAGCTTGGCACTCCACAATATGCGGCTGGCACCTTAGCCACTTGAGGTACAGGTGCTGAGCGAGGGCTTGGGGTATTAAGGACAATGAACCTGACAGCTTTCCAGAAGCTTGACTGGGAAGCAAAGCCGAGAAATAGACTGGAAGCTACAGGGAAAAGTGGGGATTAGGGCAGGGTTTTTTGTTTTGTTTTGTTTTTTTATCTCCCCAAGATGAGGGAGGAGTGTTTATATTAATAGGATGCAGAGAGTCAGCAGAAAGGAGGGTGTAGACACAGGGCAGAGGGGAAGATTGATGGCATGAGGTCCCAAAAGAGAAGCAAGGAGTGGCTCTCCAGCAGAGGTGGGGGGATAGCCTCAGACAAGGGAAGGACAGTCCTTCCACTGAGATAGGAGGGAAGGATGGGGACGGAAGATAAGTTGGTCCCTGGCAGGGGAGGAAATTGAGAGCATTCTCGATTGATGGCCTCAGTTTTCTCCCTGAAGTTGGTGGCAAGGTGATCTGCTGAGTGGCACAGGGGAGGTGGTGGGGCAGGAGATGGTCTTGGAGGAGAGGAGGCTGGTATATGAACCCGCTAAGAGCACTGGGGGATGGAGCGGGCTGGGGACACAGATGAACTGGGGAGAGGAAAGGGCACCCTGCCAAGTTGGAGAATATATATTTGGAATGTTTCAAAGTCTCACCACTCATAGCCTTTACCAGTCTAGGTAGAATCCGGATTGTTAGAGTGAACAGAACTGAGTATCTGCAGAGTGGATGCCACAGCAACTTCAGCGGGTAAAGAAATTATGGCATATTAAAAGAGAGAGTTGAGTGGTAGGCGCTCGAACACCCGATGGGAGAGAAGGATGCGAATCAAATTTCACCTGCAGGGTCAGGAGCAAGTGCAAAGGCCCAGGACTCCAAGGCCTCAGGGAGCAGGTGTCTGGGGAACGAAGAGCCTGGTGAGCTGCGGGAACCTGCTGACAGGGGAGGCTGTTGAAGCTTCAGATGACAAAGGCCAACTTATTCAGGGACTTTGAAATCAGTCATCAGAAGTCAGTGTTACTTTTTTTGTCAAAGCCTCCACTAACCTCTCTGGCCCAGAACTAGAATTTTCCCCTCCAGCCTCTGAACTCCTGTATTATTTTGTTTGCATTCGGATAGTAAAAAGAACACTAATACCAGACCCTCGATATAAAAGTCAGGAGATCTGGGTTTTGAGCTTATTTTCTATGAGTTCTGTGGCCTTGGCAATGCCTATCTTGCCCAGTACAATTTGCTCAGGGACGGATTACTCTGTCCACACACATTATGCATGTGGCAGCTATGTATGTAATGCTTTTGTTTGTTTTCCACTTGCTCTGGGAGCAGGGACCAGCCAAGACTATACTCCACATTTGTGGTTTTGCTTCACTGCAGCTTATACAATACCCAACATCAAAAGAATCCTGGAACGGATTCAACTGGAGAAGGAAAGAGATATTTTGTTTCATAAAATTTCCTAAGACCGCTTTTATTTTAAGTCTTAAATCAGATTTTGAGAGTAGTAAGTCCAAGAAGCTTATCGGGCCATAAAGGCAAATATTCTGGGAGGAAAAACATAGGCCCTTTAAAATCTGAGCTTTGTTATCTGAGTGAGGTCAGCAGAGACAGACCAAATCAACAAGCATGACATGAAGGGCAAATTTGCAATTAAAAGAAGAATGGGGAATTATAAAGATGGATGGGCCCCATGACATGCACGCCCAAGCCTGTGTGGCCTTGGCCCCGATGCCAGAAATTAATGCTTTACTCTTTAGTATTCGTCACCTTTGGCTCTGAACAGAAAGGCAAATGCATTAAAATAACAACAATTAGAACACTTACTTAGCTTGGAAGGCATTGTTGGTTCCCCTGTGGTCGAGGTCATGACACAGGCATCCCACAATCACCGCTAAAATTTCCACCTCGGTCAAAATCTCTTGAAACCCAGCGGTCTGGGAAGAAGGGAAAAATGGCAACAGTCAATGCTGGGGGCACGGAGGATGGAAAAGGTTAGTGTGCTGAGCAACAATCAGCCCTGTTTTCATAGCCACATCATTTAAGGAGATGATTAACTGCCACCCCCTCGGACGACAGTAAGTTGGGTGGTCAGTTGCACAGCCTAAGGTCCCTGCAGTGATGAATTAGCTTGCCGTCTCAGCGGCCCACGCTGCCACACTGGGACAAAGTTCAGACTATTTTGTTCTCTTTTTCAGAGAGGAGGCTGTGCTATCCAGATATAGTGACAGTTTGGCAAAGGCCCAGAGCTAGATGTGCTTTGTTATTCCACATTTTCATGATGAGCGTGGGGTTCGGTGGTCGGGGCATAGAAGGCGGCTGTGAATTTCCAGCTGAGCGTTACATCCACTGGATGCCACTCAAATCAGAGCCGGCAAATGGAAAAAAGAACAAAAAACTTCTTTTTGTTAAACATTAAAGGAGCAACTTTGTTGTATTAGGCTGTTACCCAATGACATTCTAGAAGTTATCTTGTAAATACCTTAATTCATAAGAGGTTGGTGGACAGATTAAATCTGTACCGATAGTAAGATACTGCATGTCTTGGGAACTAGAACTTGGCAGAGATTTAGGTAACCCAGGTTGAGGATCAAGTAAAATGACCATTATTTGGAATTCTTTCTTTTCTCATCCCGTGGTAGCTTGCTTGTAAAATACATAGCTGTGACGTGATTTCTTCTGGAAGCAGTTTGATAAAATTCTGTAACCAAGAGCGGCAAGTCTTCTCCGGTTCCTTCTGGCCCTTCACTAGCTGAGGAGAGGAAGTACCTCTGGGAAAGAGGGCTGTGCATTTCTTGATCCAATGCCTTTATGTGTCTACACTCCTCCTCCCACACCGCTTTTACTTTCTGAGTCTCCTATTTCATTACTTATTAAAATCTTTATCCCAGGGTAGGAGGAAGGGAGAGTTAGGGTTCAAATTGCTTCACTTTTCATGTGTTTTCCCCACCCCCAATCCAGATCTCTGGCTAATATCTGTAAGAAACTTCTCTTAGAGCCATGAACACTTTGTTTTTTAATCAGTTGTGGGGTTTTTTACCCCCCAGGAACAACTAAATAATGTGTTCTTGTGTTGACAGTTTTATTTAAAAAAATTGACATGGTCTGCTGCTGCATTAAAAACACGTATAACTTAATTTGTATAGCAAATGGAAATGTTAATAAATTGGAAGTATTAAATAGTCCATGTCACAGCTTGTGTGTGCCCCTCACCTTAAAATTGACAATTGGCTGTTGGTTTTTCTAAGTTAATGTTCTTTTACTTAAAGTGTTACCTACAATAGTTTAAAAAAATTCAAATTATACTAAGAGATTTACAACCAAAAAACCAGTAGTCCCTCATCCTTGCCCTTTCCTGATTCCTTAGGGCGACCATTTCTATTTTCTTCTTTAGCCACATTGCTGGGTTTCCTGCCGCATTTCTGTGCAGCACGCATGTATTAGCGCTTGGTTATTTACCAAGTACTCATTTCATCCTTCCTGTGTACCGATACATCATTCTAAGGGCTCTGCACCTCTGTAACTCATGGACTTCTCATAATGGTAGTGTTCAATGAGAACTGTTATTATCCCCAGTTAATAGATGAGAAAGCTGAGTCACAGCAAGGCTGAGTCACACACCCGAAGGTCTCACAGATAGTACGAGGCAGAGAGGGGTAAGCTACTTGCACACTTACTTGGCCAGAATCTGCTGCCCACCCTGCTGATGTCTAGGGGCAGGTGAGATTTATGCTCACCTACTGTGCGCTCACACTCCAGGGTGATCCACGGATGAGCTTTCCTGATACCACCCTCCAAACATACTCACTAGTGATTGTTGCCTTCCATATGTACATTTTTTGATTTCTTGGAGTTAGATTTTCTATGAAACATCTAAGCTTGCACACACCCTACACAGCTCCATCAAATGTCTCTCATAACAAAGTCAAACAAGGTCCAAACTGTCCCAGCTTATTTTTAGATCCTGCGTCCTGGGGACCCTCTCCTGTAGCCTG